AAGTATTCGTGACAATGGTGGGAAGTGTTAAGATGATAAGGATAAATGCTATGTTTATTATAGCGCAGGCATTTAACGCTGAACATAACCAGCTTTTGGTCTTTGTTTTTTGAAGCATTGAACAATTTAGTAATAACAACAGAAGATTAATGTGACAATATATAGAGAGCACGCAGAATAGAAATGAAGATTTCAAGTTATTGGCTCTTGCTGGGATTAATTGCAGGTAAGTATCTTATCGAACTTGTAAATGACGCTATTTTATTCAAGCGAGTTTATTTAGAATTAAATTGGCTGTAATAATCTGTTTTAAAACGTTCCAGTGGTTTTCAACCTTTCACCGACCGCGTACCATTTTACTGTTTTTACTATGGCCGCGTACCACCGATAAAGCTATTTTTTAGCGTGAGGAAAAAGACACAAGAAACGTGCTATGGGAGTATTTTATAATGTGGCACTACATTCTTTGTTGCGTAACACGCAAAACGGACAAAAACATGCCCATATCGCTTCATTCAAGGTGGGCAATAGCGGGCAAGGGCGATTTCTAGAGACAAGGACTGATAGCGCACCAGCGGTATGGACGTTTCCCCGACCATTGACTCCGGGAAAATTACCCCTATACTTTACAATTGTAAACTTCATGCTTATTCTGGAAGTATTTCGATGCGTTGGCGCATATAAAATGGTTTACGTGTTTGAAACCATCATTTTCATTAAAATTAATCAACCATGTGCCGCTTGCAGGTACTATTAAGCCAGGGCTGCCATAACGTCCTTATTTCTAAGATTTGTCCTTATTCCGATGGTATTTGTCTTCAAAAATAATTTTGCCCTTATTTCTAAAAAACGTCCTTTTTTCGACATGTGTCCTTATTTTATGGGTAGAGGTTCAAATATCAGACATTTAAATTGGTCAAATCGAATGATTGATTTGCTAGAAATGATATTTTACTACATCATTGATTCATTACGTAATAACAGCAAATTAATTGACACAGTGACAAAACAATAGCCTACCGACCAAAATCACTGCGTGTAACCTAAATCAAAATACAACTTAAAAGTGAGATTGAACAGATTGTTTCTAAGAATAAAGAACTGCTGGAGCAAATCCTTTGCAAAGTATGATCAGACACGGGTCGCACTAGCATGAATACAATGGCGTATCTAGGGTATGGCAGCCATGGCTCGTGCCATGAGCGCCGTTCGGACGGGGGCGCAAAAAACGCGAAAAGTTCTAATTGTATAATTTTCAATAAAACTTGAAAATGAATGAAACTCGTATTTCTAATTAAATCAGAACAAATTTAACAAAAGTCAATGCAGTTTGCAGTTTTCAACGAACAAGCTGTTCAGTCACTTAGCCCATTGACGGTGATGTCATAATTCAACATCAATAAGCCGAAATTGATACGGTACTGGACTTACTGCACCTCATATTAGCTCTGATGTCGTACTGGAGTGAACATTTATGAATATTCGTACAATGAGAGAGAATGTTTTACAGCGTGTAAAGAAATTTGAGCAATAAACAGGAATTATTGACGCCGATTTCCATGTACAAATTAAAAAGGAAAGGCAGAAAAGTAGTGGGATTCTTAAATGAATATCGCATGGAATAAAATGTCTGGCGGAACAAAATCTCGCTTTGCGAGGGCACAGGGAGTCACTTCAAGCAGATAGTAATTCAAATGTTGGTCATTATCTTGGCTCAATAAAATTCCTTGCCGTCCTTGATCCTGTGCTGCGAGAGCATCTCGGTTCCATTGGAAGCCATCCACACTCAACCTCTTACATTTCCCCAGGTGTTCAAAACGAATTTATTCACCTTATGGCATCTCATGTTCGCAAAAACTTGACAGGAAAAATTAAAAAAGCAAAGTCATATGGTCTTATATTTGACACAACTCATGACCAGGCGCATCGAGATCAGGTTCCAGAAGTTGTGAGGTCTGTTAATATAGACCAGGGGGGCAAGGTCTTCTGTTCACGGGCCAACCATTTTGCCCGCCTATAGTGACGGGCCATGTAAGTGTGACGTAAAAAGTTACATATTATGGACAATATTTACAGTATTACAAAAGAAAAAGTGCAAAACAATTAGCCTCGTGCAGAAACTAAATTTAATCGCAATCCAAACAAATTCCTCGAGCTATTTTTCAGCTAAAACATCAAAATGTGGCTTTAGTTTGGTTGTGGAAGCATCAGGCGGGCCAGTTTGAAATAGCCAACGGGCCGGATTTGGCCAGTGGGCCGTAGTTTGCCCATGTAAGATATAGACTATGACGAGAAAACAGTGTGTGTCAAAGAGTCTTTTCTGGATCTCCCCAATCTCCGGATAGCTTTGCAAATTTTGCTGGCATTGGCAGTATCCATAGAAAATTGCGATCGGTCGTTTAGTAAACTAAAATTAATTCTGTCATACCTTCGATCTTCAATTAGCCAGGAAAGCTTTGTGATCTGGCTATATTAAGTATAAAGAGGGGTGAAACAAAAAAACAAATTTTGATGAAATCATTGGCAAATTTGCGTCACGAAATATATATACTATTCTAAGATCTTGTTATTGCCGATCGTCTACTGCTTATTGTTTATTGTGTAGTTATTAATTTGCTTGTTATGTTGCGTAGTTGAGAGCAATCAGTTTCATGTAAACGAAAAAAGGAAACAAGCGAAGTAGGGGGCGCATTTTTAAACCTTTGCCATGGGCGCCATTTTACCTAGATACGCCACTGCATGAATACATTTTGTTTATTACATTTCTTTCTTTGTTATTCTATTATTATGTTTCCCTGATGTCCTTATTTTTGGGTTCATATCGATGGCACCATACATATAGCTAAGTTTAGCTTTGTCCATCGAAGCATTTGCGAGATTCAATTTCGATTACTGCAACTAAAGTAAAGATCTGCGGAAGACATAATGACAATTAAGTTAATTAATTCACAATAATTTTCTTGAAATACAACTGAAAACTGACGAATATAATTCAAAACTACAAAAACGAGGCAATGTTTGCAACCATGCTTGAATATCTGTTTGAGCGACAGAAGTGTCTGTGCGGCAGGGTGCAGAAATTGCAATTGTTACGCGTTGCGTCATTATTGACTCATTGCTGATTGGTTATAGTTACGGAAATAAACAAGGAAACTGATGGCAAACCTTCATAAACGCTGTTCAGCGGATACATACAGAAAAGAATTGAATGCGTTGCCGGCATATTTTAGCAAACTGAAAGGTTAATTAATTGTAGCAATAATTTCAATCTGCTCGCGTACCATTTGAAAAGCTCCCGCGTACCACTAGTAGTGGTACGCGTACCACAGGTTGAGAAGAGGCACTTATGAAACGAGTTGAATACATCTAATAACGCAATAGAACAAACCATACTGTTTAATCCGCGAAACGATACAAACTGAATGGGGTTCCAACCGATGGGCGGTGGACTTGAGGTTCACGGAAATATCTCGGGAGTCTATGAGCTTCGCATTAGTAAGATCTGAACGAAATACCGAGCTATCAAAACTACTGTACTGCCTATTCTGGTCTAGCTGGTATAAGACGTCAAATAAAGGAAACTTTACGGTGTCTCCAAAATGTCGTGTCCCACTTGTTCCCCGTGTCCCACGTGTTTCACTAGTACCAGGTGTCCCGTGTCCCATTTCTCCCACGTGTCCCACCAGTCGCTAATACCGCGTGTATTTTGCTAAAATCGTCAATTGTTCCGCCTCAGGCACACATTATGGTTGGTTAGCGTTGGAAACCATACCATGACTGAAATCGAATTGAATCATTGAAACATTATACAAAGTTGTAAACGCAACGCGGATTGTGATGATAAATTAATTATTCCAATTAGGTTTTATAGTACTAAAATATATTTTACTTCGTGAGATGATAACGGGTATATCTTAAAAATAGGCTGAGTGGCAGCATTGCGATAAAGCGGATCGGTGTTACGAGTACAGATTTCTCTATTTCGCGAAATGGCAAAAATACGGATTCCTAACGGCGACAATGAATTAGCAAGATTGCAAACATATCTATCAAAACTAAATATAACCAGGCAGTTTATCTCGTGTGTTATGTGCATATATAATAAACGAGTGGGACACGTGCTACAAGCGGGACAAGTAGGACACGTGGGATACGTGGAACTAGTGAGACAAATGGGACACGTGGTACAAGTGGGACACGTGGAACAGGTAGGAGATGTGGGGCTCGTGGGACACGTGATACAAGTGGGACACGTGGGACAAGTGAGACAAGTGGGACACGTGGGACACGTCGAACAAGTAGGACACGTGGGACAAGTGAGACACGTAGGACACGACATTTTGGAGACACCCGAAACTTTATAGAAAATTAAACCAGGCGACTGGGCAACACGGGATCTTGCCTGTATCGCATGGAAATTTGAAAGTTCCTCAAGTTCATTGGGATGTTTAACACAGATTGTTCTTAAATCTGATCTATGCAAGAAGTTCCCAATCACATCTTATAGCAATCTTTCAAATTGAAGGCGTTTTGTCTGTAGGCATTGTTTCTATTAGGGGATACTCGTACAGTACAGCATTAGATATTCAGGAGTTCACAGGTCAGGTAAATGATCAAAACCAAACTTTTATGTCGGGGGGAATATAGAAAATTAGCATTAATTCAACGATTCCTCATTCAGATATATATATTTCCTCACCAACACGAGGTGACTGCCGGGTGACAAATGATCCAAGTAAAAAAGTTGGATATATCAACTCACGATTAGCAAACGGAAACCAAGTTCAAAACTGCGTGTGGACATTCTCCGAAAATATTGACAAAAATAACGATATCATTGTTTTACAAATTGAACAAATGGAATTAAAATACTTGTACCGTTCAACTACTTGGTGGTGTACTGGAGAACTGGATTTACAAGGTATATCTGATTATAATGCAAACATCCTAAAAACTTACCTAACGTTATGTTGATTAATATTGAGCTGTCTCATTTTTAGGGCAAAACATTTGCGATTTTACTCAAGGTGTTTGTTTCATATTTTCACGAATATACAAAACCTGTGAACTTTTATCGAATGTAACTTCAACTTGCAGTCAAACAATTTGGGTGTTGGGGAACGCTACATATCCACCCAAGCTTACATTCAAAAACAAAGGAAAGTATTACGAGAGTAAACACAATTTTCGAATAAAGTACACCTATGTGGACTGTAACAATTACATCAGTAAGTATTATGATGTATATTTAATTTTCAATGCATAATGTAGTTTAAATCGAAGTATCGATTCAATTTTAGCCACCACCAGAACACCGGTTTCAACAACGGTCAGTGTAGCTGCGACATCGACGGCAGCTGACAACCCAACTTATGAGACTGGCTCTTTCAACAACAGCACTTATGGATCGAAATTTGAAACGACCATTCCCGGTGGCACTAAAGACCGGTTTAACCAAGCAAAAGAAGCTAACTACATTACATTAGTGATTGTTCTTGGATGTTTTTGTGGCATTTTGACAGTTTTGTTGATGTATACAACAGTAAGGTATTGTTAAACTACGATATATACACATATAATGCTATATCATTTTATCGCAAGGAATGAATTTCTACAGTTCTAAATTCAATTTTTAGATTAATTAAATATCGATCTGCTTCGGGTGCAAATGAGGGTAACTCCATCAACGAGAATGAAGTTGCTGGAGCTGAAGATCTGCAAGAGATGCCAGTGTACAGCACGGTTAACAATATTTTAACTCAATTAAAAAAGTCTGACGAAAGGATTATGGTAGACAACCAGCTATATTCTTCTTTATAAACTACGTTTTTGAAAAGGCGGAAATATTGACGGTTAGTCAGTACACATTGGTGCGGTATTAAACCGTTGTTAAATTTAGTTGCCATTGGATCAAACTTGAATCAGATTTCTGCAATGTCGATAAACTTTTCCGAAGTGAAACGGTCGAAGCTAGATGCACTGTAAGGTAAAGATACACTTTTTCATCAAGCTATTGATATATATAATCATTGACATATTGTTATTTGATATTTGTTCAATTTTTTATTCGGTTTGAAATTTGTGTCCAAAATATATACAGTTTACCAGGTAAAAAATTAAATAGGGTTGAATAACTGTATTTTTCCGGATTTGAAACATTCTGCCTCTTCAATCTTCAAAACGAAATATGCTAATTTAGATAAATTGAACAGTTTTTAATGTAATGTAGCCTTTGATTTAAAATAAAATATCTATATAGAGCCATGCTAATTTATCTGAGCAATAACGAATCTAAGAAATATTATATTTTTACTGTCGTGTCTTTTTATCGTATACCCCTTTATTTCAATTAATAAAATTATAATTTTATTCCTCAGCAACTAATCCACGCTCCCCGACCTCTCGCGGTTAGAAACAAATATTTTGACCTCAGGTTTTCCGGTGTCAGGACGTTTTATTACAGTTGAGTTTCTTAAAATGTTTTTAAATCAATCAACTCGCAATCATTCTCCTTGGGTGATTAGAGTATGTATCTTGCCTGTAAATAAAATTTTGTATATGACGGAATTAAAAGATTTATATATGTCGTCATGATATATTTCAAAAGAAAAGTGGAATGCTTATTATGATGTCATAGTAAATTCCACGTGACGTCACCATTGAAGATGAGCGTCACCAATGGCCTATAGCCTAGGGCCTCTCATTGTCCAAATTCGGTTCTGAATCCCTTGGTTTATTTGCCTTAATAAAGCAAAATAGCTAGGCTACAGTAGATACGCTAGCATATGGAACAATCAAAAATTTCTGTAGAGACTCAAGTCTAAAGTACCGATTCCAAAGATTTTTGAATTCAAAGTTCAACTAAACAATAATTTGTTGAACCAACGACACTTTTTACAACAAAAGAGCGATGCTCAAATATATGGACACGAAAGCCAAAACGAAGTAGTACCGACATGCAATCCGTCACGACATCGCCTGACTACTAACGCGGAAACGTCACATGATGCGCAATTTTTAATTTGGATTCCATTTGATCATCGCACACAAAAACAAATCCCACAGAGCCCACAGAAGCTTTTAAAAAAAATAAAAGTAACAGCCTTCTACCAAAAAATACAATTTTTAACCAAAGAAAATTTCAAGACAATTGGTCAAGTAGTTAAAGAGTAAAGCGATTTTTTCACAACAACAACAACGAGAATTTTTAACAACACAATAACAAAACGATCTGTATGTCCATTTCGTGTCCAATAACATAACAATTGCTTAATAGAACGTAATGTTAACTTTGCTAAGCATAAAAAGACGGTTCCAATTATGAAAAAGTCGAGGGCTATACGTTACAGCTTATGTCATATGTGACTGTTTTATATGACTTAGCAGAAATTACGGTTTATCAGGAAGGTCACCAATGAACAAAAAAGGAAATAAATCCGAAGAAAGAATATTTGTAGGTATGATGATACACTGGCTTTCAAAACAGGTCAATTTTAGGACCACAAAGAAATGAATCTTAGATGGTAATTTAACCGGTTACGTCGTACGGTTAAATTTTGTGCAAAATTTGTGGGGATATCAATAGTTCTATGATGCGAAATGAAAACATTGTCTAACTCGTTTTTCACCAATCATTCAAATTTTGTTTGAAGGGGTAGGTATATACATAAGCAGTAATAAAAAGTAATAATAAAAGTAATAACTCAAACTGAAAAATAAAAATTAAATCCGAACTTCTGTTATGTTTATTATTTCTAGTTGGGAAAGGCCCATTTAAATATTACTGAATACTTAGAAACCAAGATAGGTCCTGTTATGAACGTTTTGCTATGTAGGTGGTATAAGAGTAGTGCAATATATTAGGATTACAGAATACAATTAACTAAACACCTACTCTTTCCTGTTAAGCTACGGTTTTGGGTATATTATCATCTCATGATGAGCATTGTGCAAACGAATTGAAATTGTACGCGCAGAAATATATCAGTTGCTTTGAAATGTTGCATGTAAAATCAAGTTAAAAAATGTATACAAAATAATTGTTTTTTATTATGAATGTTTCCAAATCTCATCCTGATTTTTTGGCAAATGCTTTTTTTATGATGAAGTGATGAAATTTGCTCAGAAAACAAAAAATTCCACATATCGAGGTCGTAAAAAAGCAGATGATATTTTATGAAAATGATCCCTTTTATCTCCAGTACTTGAATTTCACTCACGTAAAATGTTTGTACATGATCTTTCACCGCTTTCTGGAGTCAACAGTTAGGCAGATAAATATTCCTTTATTTCCTAGCTGACGTGTTTGCGAGGGAAATTATACACAAAAAGGGTTATCATTAGACTTAGAATACTATTAGTATTCCTACTAGTTTACATCATATTTTTGGTATTTGGCCATAGCAATGAACATACGCAAACAGGATACTTGATCCAGCGTCATTGCCGTATCGAAACGAGTTCAAGCGCATGGGAATGACTCGTCCAAACCACCAGTGAATTGAATGTTAAACGCACCATTATTTTGAACCCAGGCTAGGAAACTGTTAGAGTTATGTGCTGGCGGTGAAAGTGAAACTATTGTTAGAATTCGACGAAACTTAAAAGAAATAGAAACGCAGGAAGTCACTTCATGGAAACTGATGAATCATCTAAACCAGTGCTCTTCAACAGGGGTTCCGCGGAACCCTAGGATTCCGCAATACATGCAGTGGGGTTCCGTGAGTTTATAGTGTTCCTCAGGGATTCCGCGTTTTTCTTTTTCAGGGAAAATCATTTCTTGCTTTAGCATGTTGATACATCATTATAAATATTTTTAGACCACCGTGTCTCATCCATATTACTAGTAGGCCAATTCGTTAAACAGGAGGTTTAGTCACAGTGCAGTTAATAGACAAAACAGAAATATTTTCGGTTGTTTCGTTACTTTAGTCATTGTTATGCAACTTACAAGAACGCTATTGTTGCGTCATGGTTACATGATGTTCAAAGAATGTAGATATTGATTGGGTTTCTACAAGACCAACTACTTTTCCGTTTTCTATGCTTTTGCGTCGGTGGATCCGTATGCATAATATTATGCAAGGATGCTGTAGCAAGAGTGAAGATAACTATCCTGAGTAATTCAATAAATAGTCTTGCTGCATACTAACACAAATATATTTCTGTAACGTTTCGTCTGACCAAGGTCAAACTTCCTCAGACATACATATTTCAACTAAAGCAAGAATAGCAATTTGGGAATATAATTTACTATTCTTGCTTTAGTTGAAATATATATGTTTGTCTGAGAAAGTTTGACCTTGGTCAGACGGAACGTTACAGAAATATATTTGTGTTAGTGTGCAGCAAGACTATTTATTGAATTACTCAGGATCTGTAGATATTGTTCGAGACTAGAGAAAGTATATACTACAAAATAGAGTTGTTGTTCAGCTTCTCGTGTTACGAGTATTTCGTGTTATTTTTTTAATTCTGTCAATTGGGGTTCCATAAAAAACGAAAAATTTTATCAGGGCTTCCACAATAACAAAAAGGTTGAAGAGCACTGATCTAAACTAAGCAAGGTCAATATATATATTACTAAAAAACATAGTTCTGTCAATGATCCACGGGTGACAGATATAAATATCTCACGCAGCATTCACATTCAAATTTTAAATGAAAACTTATATATTAGGAATAGGATAGAAGGTAGAAAGAAATTGTAGACAACTTAATAAAAGATGCCGAAACTTACTTTGCTGCGTAATTTTTGTATATCATTATTTCATGGCTAGATAAAAGGGTTCGTAAACGTTATAGATCTAACAGACTAATTTTTACTACGGTGGTTCCACATACAAAAAAATTGAAAATACCTTTTTTCATTTTACTGCACTATAGCTTGATCATTAATGTATTCAGTAATGAAATCAATGTCGTATTCTCAGTACGTTTTGTACGCGAATATTATCCTAGGTAAGTAAAGGCCTTCAATACTATACATTTCTAATCGAAATTTGGGTATAGTAAACAAATATTTTTGTTTTATTTAGCCTATTTGACAAATTGTTCCAGAGGATATTGCAGTCTTGAAAATTTGCATCTAAACTATACCGAAGGATATATATCAACACCACCTTATCAAAATCGTGAGAACGAAAATTGCTTGTGGAAATTTTCCGACGCGTCGACATCCAGGGGAGATGCAATCATCTTGAAAATAGATGAAATGAAATTAGTTACAAAATACAGCGATGAATACTGGTGGTATAGTGTCCGACTGAGCTTAAATGATTTGTTTGGATTGATATATTCTCGTTAGCCTACTTCATTCCACAGGTATATATCATATTTCACATAAAAATTTTCGTTGAACAAAAAGGTAATCAAATTATCTTGCAAGATTTTACTTTGGCACTCCTGTTATAAAGCACCCTTTCCTGTTAGACCGATATCAAATGAAATTGGCTCACAATTGGCTTCAAGTGTTTTCCACCAACAAAATTTTTCCTTGCTGTACTTGTACAGATTTACTAAAAATTCATTGGACACGTTAGTGGACATAACGATCGTTTACTTTTTGGACACCTAGTGGAAAACCGAAAAAGTCGCTTTCCTCTTTGATTACTGGACCAATCGCTTTATAAATTTTTAGTGGTTAAAAATGACATTTTTAGGTTATTACTTTTATTTATTTCAAATAGTTCTGTTAGCTCTGTGAGATTTGTTTTTGTTTGCTCTGACTTCACCGAACGTTCTGCGGACGCTAATGCTGGCACTCCTCTTCATGTTTTTTTGATCACGTGCCATCGAACGTCGGTGATTCGTAACGAAATCCTTGCTTTGCTAAGATTTGAGGAATGGTGAATGGGGAAGCAAGTGGTGTTATATTACAGTAGTGACTCGGATCGTTGGTGTTACTACAGTTGTGAGTCGGACCATCTCAGCGCGGTGACACTGAACTAACTCGTAACTGTGGGGTTTGCAGTCACTGTTATAACTGATGTCTGTAAATGTTGGTGAATTTCTGGGAATCGGTAAACCTTTCATATATTTGAGTATAGCTCTCTTGTTTTTTCCGAGCTTTGCAGCTTGTTCCAAAGAAAATGTCAGTCAACATACTTATATAGATGTGAGCTGTCATTCATTTAGTAATGTCAATTTTCTCAGAAAAGACGAAATAAATACTAAAGGCCGTTGATGTTGTCTCCACCTCTATGGTGAACCGATATGGGCCACCTGTGATGCTGTCTGTAACTTATAATAAAACAGTCACAAATGGCATCCACGCTACATTTCTCGACAATTATGGCATATTAAACATATGAAACGAAACATTATGATTGAGACTAGCCGAAATTCACCTTATTTTTCTAATAAAGAATGTGATCTTACATATTTTTTTTGAAACAGGCCAAAATATATGTGATTTCCAGCCAGGTGTTTGCTTCATATTTAAACCTGACAAAATTGATTGTGACATCCTTCAAAATGTACACACAAGATTTGGTTCACCGAAAAAGACGCGTATCCTCCAAAAGTTTTGTTTGAAAGCCAAATTAAACATTACGAAATGAGTCACAAATTCAAAATAAAATACAGCTACGTTGCTTGTAATAACGACTCAGGTAAGCAGTAAATTATTCTAACGAAATGTATAAGTTAAGGTAAAAGAGTCATAATTAATTAATAGTATATAACATGAAAAGATCTATTGACAACGAAATAATACACAAACTTGTTCTCCTCTGATAATTTACGTACATACTATTTCTATTGTGCAAGTTAATTTGACCACTGGTATATTTTCATACGAATATGCTGCAAAAGTGCTCTGGTAGAGGTAGTCACTTTTGCCGAAAATACAATTAGGTCTTGTAATATGCACCTTTATTATAACTCATCTCCCTCTATGCAAATTTTACCCTGTTAATGTTTTCCTTCCACAGATAACAATAATGACCAATTGAGCTGAAAAGTCTTTAAAGGTAGACATGTAGGATTGTGGATGTGAATACCCATTGCGTTGCAACTGATTGCGTTGCATGGAAAATCCTAACTTCAGCAAAGACATGCTGCAATGCTAATATTTTTATTCCCACAGCCACACAGGCTTCTCTGTACAAGGAGCATAATAGCAATTTATTGCGCCTCGCAGGGTATTGTAATCCCACCAACGTTGCTATCTGCTATGTTCACTTTTGGTCATTAATGAGATTAAACTGATATATAGCTTAATTATGGCGAAGTATAAATTCCTTGCTTGTAAAATTATTCCTTAAGCCAGGTCATATTCACCCCTGGATGACAACCCTAAATGTGAATGAATTTAATAAATTATTTGCAGTATCAACCACCGATGCCGCATTCATAAGTTCAACGCAGAAACCCGACCAAGCTACCAGAGGTACATCTCGATTTTCACACAACACGGCATCTACCGTTACTCTTGGACGTACCACAAAGCTTAAGAATAGACATTAACCACTATAATCATGAAAAAAAAAAACATAATATTAAGTTTAAGATGTCATGTTAAGATGTCATTAAAATATATAGTATTATTTTGACCAGGGGTTAAGCATGTCGCATCTTCAACAACGAATAGCGATGAAGCAATAGAAACTGGCGTTTACGAAAACAGTCAAGGACAAACAGCTGCAAGCACTGTCGTTATTATTTTTGGAATCTTATGTGGAATCTTAACGATTGATCACAAAGACAATATGTCAATGTAAAACTATACAATTATAGTTTATACAAGCAGTGACAATTATATATATTTGTATACGCTGCCTTATATATTGAACATCAGGCATGAGGTCTATTACTAATTTTCACTAATTTTAACGTTTCATTGTTTGATTATATTTTCCTGAGTGATCTCAAAATATTTCAATGCTGTAGAAAGTGAAAGCAATCTTTACATGCCTTATTAAAAAATACAACAAAATACAATTTGAAACAAGTTTTGTTGAAACAATAGCTATGGAACTACGTATTTAATTCTTTGTAAGCAGAAAAAAAAACGATCTTAAACGCTGCTTTCGGTATTTTATCACAAAGTGTACTCATGAATAAGGATGCAAAGTATGGCTACTTACAAATATTCGATTCTTATCCGATTCCTAAATTTTCGATTCCGATTCTCGATTCCTCGACATATCTTACCGAGAAAACATACCCACCTAAACAATACCCTATGAAATCAAACACGAGAGCGATGTTCAAATATATGAACGAGCAAGAAGGCCAAAAGTAAGTAGAATGGGTGTTCGATCTGTCACAGTAGATAAAATCGCGCAAAAAAAACGAATCCCTAAGAACTCACAGAGATTTTTGAGTGAAACAGTCGAAGCTCAGCTAATTCAATATATGTAAGCCAAAGATACACTTTTCATCAAGCTATTGATATAAACCATGGCATATTCCTTTCGGATTAATTGGTTTGGTGATTGGTAACAAGTTAAAAAATTAAATACGGCCAAATAATTGAATTTGTTCGACTTTTTTAAAACGTAATATAGCCTTTTTTTGAAAACAAAAATAAATATATATATATATACTATTTTATCTGAGCAATATCGAATCTAAGAATTAATAAATTTTTACGGTCGAATCTGTTTTATCGTATACCCGTTTTTTCAAAATATGGATTGACAATTTGATTCGTCAGCAACTAGTAGGCCATGCTCCCCTATCTCTCGCGGCTAGAAACAAGTATTCTGACCTCAGGTTTTCTGGTGTTATGAAGTTTTATTACCGTCTTGAATTTGTAAAAGTGTTTTTTTAAATTAATCAACTCGCAATCATTTTCATTGGGAGTTTAGTATACATGTCTTGCCTGTTAAACCTTTTTATTATGTCAACTTAGAGACACCGGATGCGTATAATGAATATTGAAATTGCATTTGGAAATACTCCATTTGCACGCCAATATTAGTTCAAATATCCACACAAATAAGTATTTGCTCGCTATAAATACCAGATTGAATGAAATGTTTGCCAAGGCAAGTAAAGACTTCGAATTTCATCGTTTACTGACTGGACCCACCAAATCTGGAAGCGCCCGACGAAAACTCAGGAGCAATACTAAGATACAAACGCACCTGAAATGTATTACGCATGTTTCGGTATTATCCGACACATCAGTCGTAGGTGAAAGAACTCATCATTGCTAGATCGATTGCTGATTCAACAACTGGATACATTTTCAATGTAAAAATAGATTATGGTAATCCAAACTTGGAACAACTTCCACCCGGCGTCACAAAAACTTCGAATTTAGTTTTGCAACTAATGGAAAGTCATCTGGATAGAGGATATCACGTATTTGTTGATAGGTATGTTGATTATTCGGTATTGATAAGACAAATTAGATAATTTACGTCTCGGCGCCATACTGCGTTTTATTTTAGATAACGAATCATTGTCGGATATATCAATCAATTGCATAAACTGTTTTATCACAACCAATTTTTAATAATATTCATTTTTAATTTAGACTCTACAACTCTGTCGCATTAGCCGAGGAATTGCAGCGAAGGAAAACATCGATAACGGGAACAGTCGTGGCAAACCGGAAGGGACTTCCAGCAGAAATAAAAACAAAACTAAAGAAAGGGGAAATCATCTCACTACGAAAAGGACAATTACTCGCACTACTATGGCAAGATAAGAGGCCGATTTCAATACTTTCGACGTATTGTAATGGTGACGAGGTCATAGAGAAACAGTTGCGAGGTTCATCAGAAACCATAAAAAAACCTACGTGTATTGAACTTTATAACAAATTCATGGGAGGCGTAGATTTGGCAGATCAGTATACCAGCTATTACAACTTCTCTAGGAAATCGGTGAAATGGTGGAAAAAAATATTTTTCTGGCTGATTGAAACAAGCGTCACGAACAGTTATATTATTTACAAATTAACTCGCCCTGAAGGTAGAACTGTTACACTTCTCAAGTACAGACAAATGGTGATCGATGATCTTTTAGCTGGTGTTCGTACCAGTCCAAAAAAAGAGCCCAAAACTCCAAGTCCTCCCCCAAAAAAAATTAAACTGGCGAACGAAAGACTCAACGGCCTATTACATATTCAGTCAAAGAAGCGAAACAGCGCCGATGTAAAGTATGCAGCACAAAAACACAAAGAAGAGAAACAACATATATTTGCATCACATGCTTCGACGCGCCCGCTTTACATCCAGGAAACTGTTTCGCTCGCTACCATACTCTTCTGGAATATCGATGTAATTGACACTGCAATGGGCAATAGGGCGTTCCAGAATTTTCTGGAGCGCGAAGGACCCCATAAAACAAGTCCTAACGAGTGGGTAAACCGACACCTCTTGGGTCCACATGGAAGCTCGGTAATGAATTTACTATGTTCGTATGTTTCAAGTACATATGTGTTACAGTTGTATGAATATGCAATGTGACTACTTTGTTTATTTTGCAATATGTTATCCTTGTGAGTGACAATAATTGGCCATTATTAATGTTATTGGAATATATAGCGAATGAAGGATATATTTTTATGCTAGTAAACGATTTTGTTTTCTTTGTTCAAATTTGATATTTTCGTATAATAAAATGATTCTGATTGCTGAATAAAATGTTCGAATTGAATCTTTATCGCAATGAGAGATCAAGACAAGTTATCATCAACTTATGTTATAATAGCATGAGAGAGCAATTCCGACAAGATACGCGTGTGTAGGTGAGTTCTTTCACCTACGACTGAAGTGTCGGAATGAACGATAACTGATGACACCGCTGGGTTCGCCCCTTTCCCGATGAATCAAAAACTAAATACGAGAGAGAATGAATAGGAGAGAACTCTCTCGTTTTCACCTTGGCACGGAACGGTAAAATTGAAAAAACTGATCTTGGCATCGAAAGTGTTAATAAACTTTTGTAGACTATATCACGCGATTAAAAAAAATTATATATATACTATATATATGTCGTCATGATATATTTTAAAAAGAAAGTGGAATGCCCAATATGATACCATTAACCCAAAGACACACTTCTTTTCATTACGTTGTTGATATTATCTGTTATATATATATATATACTGTTTTTTGAGCGATACTTGGAATGGAATTATCGTTTGGACTTGATTTTTTACCCATTTTTAGGGAAGCGACTTCTAGAATTTTGTCTTCCATTGAAAAAATAAAAATGTAATTCAAGATTTTAACTTTGCTATGTCCGGTTAAGAAAATGTTATCAACATTATACAGAAAACTGAGCAAAATTGCTACCAATGTGAAGACAAAAATATACAACGCTACTATTGTCACTCTACACGCGATCCATGAACTTATAAAAATTTAGAAATCCGTCTAATAAAGTTTATCTCAATATATATTGCTAAATACTGTTAATACTTTCCTGTCAACCTATGGTTTTGAGTCTATTGTGACCACCCTTATTTTTGTCTTTTATAGGCTGTTATTTAATATTACTGCTACATTTTGTTTTTTAACGTTGGAGACACCGAGAGCGCTATGGCACTGTCAATCTTTCTTTTGTCATCCTGTTAGGCCACGCTGTGGGTTGCAGCAATGCAGCTGTGGTTGTTTTAGTTCGATTTTTAGTGTTCCAAAGTAGGTTACCAAGTGTGTTTATTTCTGATTATAGGACTATGGGATTAGGATTTGTTATATATTTTTATGTTAGTCAGTGGGGTGATCAATGGTTAGGGGGAATGTACCAGATTTTCGGGGCTGTCTTCAGATTTCAGGTAAAAAGGTTGGGATGATGACGGAAATGATATGTTTAATATAGAGCACGCATTTAATGCGGAAAACAATCACATTTTGCTCTTTGTCTTTTGAAGCGATGAACAACAGAGTGATACAAACAGAAGGTAAATTTGACATCATAGAGAGCATGCAGAATGGAAATGAAGACTAAAAGTTATTGGCTCTTGCTCGGATTAATTGCAGGTAAAAATCATATCGAACTTTTAAATAACGTTATTTTGTTCAAGCGAGGTTAATTAGAATCAAATTGGCTGTAATAATCAGGTTTGAAACGTTAAGCGGAAAGGCACGTTTGAAACAAGTTAAATACTACTGTCTAAACCGCGAAACGATACAAACTGAATCGGTTTCCAACCGATGGCCACGGACTCCAAGAGGTTCACAGTGATATTTTGGGAGTCTTTGATCGTTGCATTTCTAATATATAAACAAAAGACCTAAACCCTGGCTATTCTGGTCAAGCTGGCAAAAGACATCTATGTAACTTATGGAAAAATTAACCAGGCGACTGGGCAACACGGGAACTTGCTTGTATAACGTGGGACGCTGGTACAGTACAGCATAGTTTGGTTTTCTTAAAGGGGTTCACAAGTCAGGATATATCATCAAAACCAAATTTCTATGTCGGGGGCAACATGAGGCAGAATATAAAAAATAAACATGAATGTAACGATTCCTCATTCAGATATATATATTCCGACATCAACGCGAGGTGACTGTCGAGTGACAACTGATGTAAGTACGAAAGTTGGATATATAAACTCACCACCAGCAAGCGGGGCAAAAGTTCAAAACTGCACGTGGATATTTCCCCAAAATATTGACACAAATAATGATATGATTGTCTTACAAATTGAACAAATGGGATTAATATACTTGTTTGGGTAAACCAACTACTTGGTGGTGTACTGGAGAGCTGGATTTAGAAGGTATATCTGTTTTTATTGCAAGCATCCTTTAACCTTATCTAAATTGTTTACAATAATGTTAAACTATTTTTATTTTAGGGCAAAACATTTGCGATTTTGCTCAAGGTGTTTGTTTCATATTTTCACGAATATACGAAACCTGTGAACTTTTAGCAAATGTAACTTCCAACTGCACTCAAAAAGTTTGGTTGTTGGGAAATGCTACATATTCACCCAAGCTTACATTCAAGAACAAAAAAGACTTTTACAAAAGTGAACACAATTTTCGAATAAAATACACCTATGTGACTTGCAACAATTATACCAGTAAGTATATGATTTGTATTGTACGTTCAATTTCAATACATATTGTACTTTAAAAGTATTGGTGATTTTACTTCTCGGGTAATTTTAGTAGTAGGTTCCTTTCCAGATGCTCTTCATGAGTTAATATCGTTCCTTGTTTCCCGCTTACGAAATGCTGAAAATAAGATCTGGGACCTTTCTTTGGTCGTTTCCGCACGACCGTTTTTATTAATTGAACTAAATGTCCATTTACCAAGGAAGTTTCCATGCTAAACCTTTTTTTAATAAAAGTAATCCAATATGACGAATCCTCACCAACTTTTCTCTTTTCCCTGTTGTGAATAAAAATCATTAATTTTACGCATGTCTCTTCAGCCATCACAAGGACAACGATTTCAACAACGACGGACAACGTAACTTCCGGGACAAATGAAGTTAACTATATTACATCAGTGATTGTTCTTGGAAGTTTTTGTGCCATTCTGTCAGTATCTCTGTTATATGCAGCAGTAAGGTATTGTTGAACTACGATATATATATATAGTTATATCACTACCACGCCAACAAAAAACAGCGCAGTAAAAAATCCATTTCTATTTAGAATAATTAGGTATCGATCTTCATCTGAAGCAATTGAGAATCACGTAATCAAGGAGAACGAAATTGAGGCTGCTACAACTAGAGAACCGCAAGTTATGTCAGTGTACAGCATATACGAAACAACTCAATATATGAAAACTCAGACGAAAGGATTATCGTAGATGACCAGCTATATTCTTCATAAATCAACTCTTTTAAAAGGCTTGGATCTTTACGAAAATTGGATGTTGGTCAATACGTATAACGTGGAATCAAGCGATTGTTGAATGTGGATATCATTGAATCAACATCGATCAAAATATTTTTGTGTTGTTCCAGATGTATACCTTTTTTGAAGTGCAACAATCGAATCAACTAACTATTTAATATAGGCTACTTTGACCCAAAGATACAATTATTTTCATTACGTTTTTGGATTTTTCACCCACTTTTACAAAAATGTTTTGGAAGAGTATGTACACATTCAATAGAGAGGCAACTTCTAGAATTTCGTCCTGCATTCACAAAATAGAACTTTAATTCGAGCATTTAACATTATGTCCGGTTAAGAAAATGGCATCAACATAATACACGAAACTGACCAAAATTGCTACCAATGTGAAGACAAAAATATACAACGCCACTATTGCCACCCTACCCGCAATTCATGAACTTATAGGCCTACCATTTTAGAAATCCGTCTAATAAAGTTTATCTCAATATATATTGCTAAATACTGTTAAACTTATGATAAGTCCTCTAATAAAGGTGATTTTACACCATGCCAGATTGTTAGAGAATTGCCTCAATAGAACTGGGTGACAGAATGTAATTAACTAGACACCTACATTTTCCTTTCAAATATATTGTTAGGCTAGGTTGCCGGTTGCCGCAATGTAGCAGTGTTTGTTTTAGTTAGATTATTTTAGAGTGTTTCAAGTCTGTTAAATTGTTTCTAGTTCTTAGGTAGGCTACCAAGTGTATTTATTTCTTATTTTATGACTATAAGATTAGAATTTGTTTAGATATTTTGATGCTGGTCAATAGGATGATCAGTGCATAGCTGGAATGTACCAGATTTTATGAGGCCGTCTTAGATTTTTCTTGTATATATTATTTTTTTTTGTATTGTGATGCCTGGTGTTCGGTATTTACATTGTATATTGCTAAAACAGTTGCTCTAAATTAATGGGTTTATGTGAAATAAGATATGCAAAATACATTCAGCTTGATAGTGTCTATATACATTAAAAATGAAATCCAACAAACAAATATTCTTTTTTATTGAATTTTCTTACAAATTCAGATAAAAACACTTGCAACTTCACCATTGGAGTTTGCTTCTCTTCTGCTACTATCAGAAAACAACGATTGTGAGATTTCAATAAAAACCAGAGAGCTATGCTCAAATCGGTGGAGACCAAGAGAAAAACTAAATATTTTATTTCTAATTATCCGAAAATCATATAAGGAAACGCACTAGTAGTAGTTTAAGGAGGCGGACTACACAACTCAATACAGACAGCCTTTTTCCAGGTTCTATGATAATGATCAATTTCTCATGATTCAGTTTCAACGTGAATTGAAATAAATTGTAAATAATTGTACAAGTCGGGTCACAAGATAGAAAATCATTCAACTTGAGAACAAAGACGAAATGCCAAAGAGTTTCTTTTGGAAAATTGCTCAAATTTTAAAGTTTCCTAAAGAATTCGAAATCACGCTGTCATATTGCGGCTGGTGCCGCTATCTCTATTTTAAGCTTGTTAGACATCATAAAATAATTATGCGTAAACTCCTTATGAGAATTAAGTTCAGTTATTCCTTTTGCAATGTGCTACACGTTGTGATTATGTTCCGTCATTATTACATTATTGTTCTTTGTGTTGTGATCTTCAGTGACTTGAGTTTATCTATATTTAGTGATTCAATGTAATAATTTTGCATGTTCTTGTGTTTGAGTTAAGATGCGTTTTTAGTTTCTTGAGGCCATAATTTTGGTTATAACAAATAAACTGTTACGACAAAACTGTTGATAAAAGATTTAGGTGTACAGTACAATCAATGCGGGTCCGTTTTTAATATTACTAATGCATTAGTATTATACATGTATAATGTGACTGATTTTTATACAACAGTATTGTGTATCATTAAGTAATATTTATGTTTAGTTACTTTAGGAAACTCTAAAATTTGAGCAATTTTCCAAAAGAAACTCTTTGGCATTTCGGCTCTGTTCTCAAGTTGAATGATTTTCTATCTTGTGACTCGACTTGTACAATTATTTAAATTGACTGTAGACAACAACTTACCAAGCTCACGATAAATGAGACAGTAATATATTTCCGATTTGCTAACACACAATTAATTATTCGACTTCCTTGTTGCTATCATACATAGACAGCCCAATGTGATTGATTCATCTTCTTAACGGAGCCGCTTTTACAGATACCACTGAGGATCACAAAGTGTAGCACACTGCAACAGGAAAAACTGAACCTAATTCTCATAGGGAGTTTACGCATAATTATTTTATGATGTCTAACAAGCTTAAAATAGAGATAGCGGCACCAGCGCAATATGACAGCGTGATTTCGAATTATTGCATTATATTACCGAACTAAACGCCACAAACGCGACAACGTTAGACAAATGCTTCTTATTTATTTCATTACATGGTGAATCATGTTAATATCACTTGAAACATATGAACTAATGACTACGCGGAAGTATCAACATTCCTAAAAGCCAACTCGTAAAAAGCGTTGAGACAGAA